TGAAAGGCGTTAGATCCTCTCCTGCGCACTGGGAAGCTGAGAAGAAAAGGCAATCGCTATGTCACTTTATCGGCTGCAGAATCTCAGTGGGTTGAGCTTTTGGTCATCCTCTCTAAAACTGTTGATTCTAAAGATATTTCGAAGAGAGGGCCAGTTTAACAACCAGATAGATATCGCTTAATTGAGACGCGATAACTTGTGCTAGATATTTTAACTACGCTATTGACAAATTCTTAAGCCTTTTAAAAGTAAAGCCGGAATTTTTGGAATGCATGTTGTCACAAATTTCAACTGGAGAGTGGAGTTTCAACAGAGAGGTTCCGCATACATGGCATGTATTGGCTTAATAATTCTCAACCTTCAAGATCCTCAGACATTCCCTGATGTCATTAGTTTTATTGACAATTATATTTCTACAGATGGTTCGGTTATTAGAAATTATTTGGTTATCAAAAGCATAACCACAGTCGGTCTTGTACTAGGGAAATAAGAGGACAACAGTTTTGTCGTTTTGGTATCCCATATCCACCAATGCCTTTAACGCAAATACTGTTACGAGTCAAAATTCGGAAAATTTTTCAAAATTCAAAACGTTTTAAATTCAAATATACTACAGAAGACATTTCTAATTTAAAGATTTGAACACTACCTGTCTGATAGTAAAATAAATATGTCTTTTGATGACTATTGGTTAGCTTGAGGTCAAGTTTAACAAACCAAAATTTTTCAAAGAGAAAAATCCTGTAGATCGTGTTATAAACGCTTATAATCCTCTGATTTTGGAACTCCATAGAGCAAATATGGATATCCAATATACACTGGATGCATGCTAGCTGTTCATATATAATTAACAGGGAGTTTCTAGGCTCTTAAATGAAGCTAAAGAGGTAAATGCTGGCTCCATCTTTCGGATGATGTTTTTAAAAGAACTTGAAAATGTTCCAGAAAGTCTTTATAAGAATAGACTTGGAGAAGGTGCTCAAAACCAAAATATATGAATAATATAAATACCCTAGCGCATTTCGATGGATTGTAGGGTAAGTTCACCTCCATACACTAGTCGTTTAAAACTTATTAATCTATCTTCACTTAGTCTGTCGTAGGGAAATGCTTGATAATATTCTTAGTGAAAATCTTGAATGGAACAGTTTGCAGTTCTTTCTCCTGTCTGAAATTAAATTTAATATCGGTTCGCCTTTCGAGGCAGTTTAGACTTTACTTAAAATCCTGTAGGTCAAATTTGAACTAAGAGCCATTCCGCCGTATATGTCATGATTTTAATTCTCATTCCAGCACATTTGACTTATCTGACCACTTTTCAAAATTAAAAAGACTTTATGTTTCTCTTAATAAATGAATATGTAAACAATTATATTGTAACTTGGATTTTAGCTGTTGAATATTGTTTCTGTAGCTGAGCATTTTAGATCTCACACTTAATGAAATAGACTTAGGAAGGTGCTCAAAACCAAAATATATAATAATATAAATACCCTTAGCGCATTTCGATGGGATTCTAAGGTAAGTCTACCTCCATACACTAGTCGTTTAAAACTTATTAATCTACCTACACTTTCTAGTGTAGGGAAATGCTTGCAATATTCTTAGTGAAAATCTTGAATGGAACAGTTTGCAGTTCTTTCTCCGTCTGAAATTAAATTTATAATCTATCGGTTCGCCTTTTGAGGCAGTTTAGACCTTTACTGCTAAAATTCTGTAGATCAGATTTTAACTAAAGCATTCCGCGTATATGTTATGATTTTAATTCTCATTCCAACATTTGACTATCTGACCCACTTTTCAAAATTAAAAGACTTTATTGTTTCTCTTAATAAATTATATGAACAATTTATCATATATTGTAATCTTGACTTAGTTGAAATTTTTGTTTCTGTAGCTGAGCAGTTTTAGATCTCAACACTTAAAAAACTCTCTTGCCTTTTCTGACCCGGCTAATTCCGTATTCGGATTGCGCCCCTCGTGGCGGTTGGGCGGGAGGAGGGTAATCGTTGGGTTATTAATTAATAAATTTGCTGGACTTGCATGGCGAAGATTCAACATATAATGGCACTGAATCTGATTGCAATATTAGTCTAAATACTAAGCAAAGAACCTATTTGACACATTTGATGCACCAGCTAAGAACAAATCGCCCATTTTATGAGTTCATTGGCGGCGGTGCAGGTGTAGGAAAGAGTCGTTTGATATCTGCAATATACGAGTATCAAGCTCTTAACCATCGTTACAACTCTATACCTGGATCCAATCCAAGTTCTTTAAAAGTTCTTCTTTGCGCACCTACGGGTAAAGCAGCATTCGGAATAGGTGGAATGACCCTTCATTCAATATTCTCTTTACCTGTTAATCAGTTGAATAGAGAGATGAGGCCTCTTAGCAATGACACAGTTAATTCATTGTATTTCAGAGTCATCGATTTAAAATTTATCGTAATTGATGAAATATCGATGGTAGGTGTCCGTATGTTTAGCTCTGGTGCTGCGAAATTAAAACAAATTTTCAAAACCGACAGCCCCTTCGGTGGTATACCGATCATCGTGTTTGGTAATTTGAACTCTCACCTGTTGGAGATAGGTGGATATTCTCTCCTAATCCCAATGATGCATACAGCACTTTAGTTGGTTCTCCTTTGTGGGAGTTATTTAAATACTTAGAATTAACAGAAATAATGAGACAACGGGAGGATCAGGCCTTTGCAATTGCATTAAATCATATGGCATCATTTACTATGACAAATGAGGACATATCTCTCAATGAAACTCGAGTAGTTAATTTCGAAGAAGTTCCCGATGATGCCATACATTTATTTTGGTCCAATGAAGAGACAAATAATTTCAATGCCCGAATCCCAACTGAAGCTATCCTTTCAACTGCAAAAGACTCAGTTAAAAGAATTGGTATAAGTGAAAATGAGAATATTGGAAAGAGTTAAACTTTTCAAAACTTCTAAAACGCAGGGACTGCCCTCTGAATTGACACTAAAAACATCCGCAAAATATATGATTACAGTGAATATAAACACGTGTGATGACTTGGTTAATGGGGCAGCTGGACAACTTATGCATATTAATTTCCAATAATCCTTTCTAACAATTCTGTGGATTAAATTTTTGGAACCTTCTGTTGGTTTGATTGCACGATCAAAAAAGCCTCATCCTCTAGAAAGTTCTGGGACACCAATTGAAAAAGTTATAAAATCTTTTCAATATAAAAGAAATGAACAAATTTCAATTGAAAGAAATCAGTTTCCAGTTGTTCCGGCTGAGGGAATAACTATTCATAAAAGTCAGGGTGCCACATATAATAAAGTTGTAGTTCATACTCGACCCAGAATGCCTCGAGCTTCAATATATGTCGCTTGTAGTCGAGCTACTACTGCAGAAGGTCTATTCATCATAGGAAATTGTATTCCTCCTAACAAATTTTCTGAATCGGATCCTGTATTTAAGGAACTGAGGGAATTGAACACAAATAAAGCTCTGACAACAACAGAGTCTTCACGCTCACTTTAATGATATAACAAGCGACTGTTTGATGCTATCTTCAGATATTTTATGTTTTGTAGAAACTTGGAGTTATCCTTGCGAAAGTTTTGATATACCAGGATTTACTCTAATTAACGAGCTGAGGATAGATAGCACGGAAACAACCAACAGAAATAAACGGGGCATTATAATATATGCAAAGCATATTATTTCTTACTCTATAGAATCAAAGGCTGTAAAGAAAATTTATTCAGGCCGCAAAGTTTTAGAAGCGGTTTTGTTTAAATGTTTCAGTATTAATATTCTGGTTCTATATAGAAATTCAGCTTTCTCTGTCAGACAATTAATTGTAGAACTTCAGGAAGTCCTTACTTCTGAGTTAGGCAATCAAAATGTGCTAATTGTTGGAGATTTTAACATTTGTTTAATGTCTACAGGGACTACAATAAGAAATCTGCTCCAAGAAAAAAACTTTAGTTCCCTGCTTGGTGTAGAATATTCAACTACACCTGCCGGTACACAAATTGATTGGGCATTTTCAAACATGGATCCTTCCCGTGTAAATGCAATTACTTTTGAGACAGTACACAGCTATCATGACAGTATTTGTGTCTCTATTTCGAACTAAAGTTTTCAGACTTAGTGCAATAGTTCTTCATTTTTTTTCCAAATATAAGCGAATTAGAATGGTATAGCAATTTTGACAGTAGTTTTTAAGTCAAATTTAAGAAAAATATGTAAATAATCTAATTAAGCAAATTTAAATTATATGTATATTTTCTTATTATATATGACATTATTGTATAAATATATGATAGAAAATAAATAGTATAAGGAGAAAAGATATATAATTTGGATATATGTATAAGAATCTTTATAAAAATTTATGTTTAATATTAAATATTATATACAAATTAATATAATAATATTATATAATTTTTAGAGTTGTTAATATTTATTATTTTTAATCTAAACATGTATAATAATATCGATATAATAAATAAAAAATGTTATTCATTGTCCAAAAACGATTTATTTTCATACTTCTTTATACAGTTGTAATTCATTCTTTATAAAATCAATTATAAGCGTATAAAAAAAAAACATAAGAACGATTTCTTACAATTTGAGTAAATTTAGTTTACAAATTGCTCTAATTATTTTCACTGTGAATGTAAATAACTAAGGCAACAGTTCCTACTTCTATTTATTAAAATATATAAAGAAATCTCAAACGAGTATACCATTTAACTTTGT